TTTACTTCTTGTTCTTTAATGCTTATTAGCATAGATTTTATTTTCTTATTTTATCATACTCCCTTTAAAAGAGGGAGTATGGGTAAAACTTTCTATGGACAATTTTACCCCTAAATCTTATTTATATTATATATTCTAATTCTAATTAAATTAACTTAAATTAAATTAATGAGGTTAACAACTCATTATTTTGTAACATTTACCAGTTCATCTTCACATTTCCTCTTTTGTCATAATAACAACATATCTTCACTAAAAATTCAAAATCTCTTTCTCTTCTCTTTCAGCACTCAATCTCCTTGCTTCTTCGTTTAAAAAAATCCAAATACATCTCTCATCTCCATATCCACCCGAAATTGACTCTAAAAAGCTCCTACTTTCAAATACCAACACCTCAAATATTTCTTCAACAGCACATTGATCTGTATCAAGCTCAATCTATTATATTCTTTTGTGCCAGTTTAATAGTAAGTTTTAACTTTTTCTTATTTTTTTGGAGATGGAAACCAAGTGAGATTTTATGCTCTCTCGGTTTCCCAATTCAGAACTACATGAAGATGCAGCAAGATGCCAAGATATTTTAGAACCCGCCAAATTTTGCTGAATGCTTTTAAGTTTTTTATGGGATAGTATTATTTGCAAACAACCAGACTAGATATAATTTGTGTATAATTTATTAATTAATTTGCACATGTCATATTTAGTTATTTAAATTTTCACACTATACCAAATATTATTCTCAGTTTATAAGTATATGGACAATGAATTTACATGTCCTATCATACTAGGAATCCTTCTACTCTAAAAAGCTCCTACTTTCAAATACCAACACCTCAAATATTTCTTCAACAGCACATTGATCTGTATCAAGCTCAATCTATTATATTCTTTTGTGCCAGTTTAATAGTAAGTTTTAACTTTTTCTTATTTTTTTGGAGATGGAAACCAAGTGAGATTTTATGCTCTCTCGGTTTCCCAATTCAGAACTACATGAAGATGCAGCAAGATGCCAAGATATTTTAGAACCCGCCAAATTTTGCTGAATGCTTTTAAGTTTTTTATGGGATAGTATTATTTGCAAACAACCAGACTAGATATAATTTGTGTATAATTTATTAATTAATTTGCACATGTCATATTTAGTTATTTAAATTTTCACACTATACCAAATATTATTCTCAGTTTATAAGTATATGGACAATGAATTTACATGTCCTATCATACTAGGAATACTTCTGCATAATTAGGTTTTTTTTAATCTTTAATCTTTTTAAGAAATTCTTAATCTTTTTTTAGAACTTTTTTATATTTGAATTCACTATTTGTAATTTTGGTTGTTAGAAGATTAAGTCCTGAAATGTGAAAAATGATGTAGCTTGTAAGGATTCAGTCTGGCCTATCCTTGTGGACATGTTAAGTTAATTAGTTGGTGTCGAGATGGTGATTCATATAGGCATAACTCGAGTTGAGACTATATATTTTGTAGGTATATTTAAATATGTTTTGTTGCTATTTTTCTTTTGTGTGTGGTTTCATGTAATCATGACTAAATATGTAAAAATACGTATAGTGCTTTCATCTTTTTGTTGGGGATGAAAGCTACTCTGTAAGTTTAGAATGATAGTACGGCTATCGGCTAGGGTCTTTTAGAGCCACTTTATTTAGAAGTATATTTGAATTAGTATAGTGTTGGTTAATTTAATGGACTATTTATTGCATGAATCTACTTTTTAGAAGTATATTTGAATTAGTATAGTGTTGGTTAATTTAATGGACTATTTATTGCATGAATCTACTTATTGTTTTACTTTTTCGGTAAGTATATTTGAATATGTTATGTCTCTATTTTTCTTGTGTGTAATCATGGCTAAATCTGTAAAAATACTTGTAGTGTTTTCATCTTTTTGCTGGGGATGAAAGCTATTTTGTAAGTTGGGAATGGTAGTATGGTTGTTGACGGGGGTCTTTTAGGCCCTATTTTTTTCTAAAAGAAATATATTTGAATATGTATCATATTGGTTAATTTAATGGACCATATTTAGTGCATGAATCTACTTATTGTTTTACTTGTTTATAAAAGAATAATACTTATTGATTATATGCAAGTTTTTTATAGTGCCGTATAGTTTACTTGAGAATAAAGTACCACAATTTAATATTAAATCAATGATAAAGTTTGGTTAAAGAGGATGAAAAAGTGGTCATAATATTCCCAATTTACTTGTTTGCTATTAATTGACAATTTAATAAAAATAGTTTTAGAATAAACTCATTTTGGCACTATAAATTTTAATAATGATGATTAATAGCTTATGAAGAATTTGTCCCTGGGTATATGGCTGTGAAGCTTTATTACCTTTAGAAATCCAGATCTCATCCCTGAGAGTTGTCCTTGCAACCGGGATGACAGATGAAGAGCAACATCGACTACACCTTTAAGAAATGGAAGTACTAGACGACAGGCGACTTCAGCCTCAGTAACAGATAGAGTTGTATCAAGCTCGAATATCCAAAACCTTTCATAGGAAGGTCAAAGAACAGATCTTCAAGAAAGACAATTTGGTCTTAGTAGTCAGACGACCCATGTGATGACACACAAGACCAAAGGAAAATTCAATTCCAAATGGGAGAGACCCTTCGTAATAGAATCAATCTATTCGAATGGAGTTTATCGTTTCATCAATCAGAAAGACGACAGGCTCATAATACCTATTAACGAGAAATTTCTCAAGAAATATTACTCATAGACCATGAAGCCCCATTTCTGCTAATCCTCAGTCAAGTCTAAGATAATAAATCAACTTTACTTAGATTGGGGGTTGGTTACTCAGAATTAATTGAATGGGGAATAATAAATCATTCTTATATATCGTCAAGTTAAGACTACACCTCTAACGATTGAAATTTTTTAGAATTATTCTAGCAATAATAAAGAAAATTTTTTATTTATGCGAAGTTAACATTACACCTATGGCATTTTCAATATTTTCATTGTTCTAAGTTAAAACACAACACGAGAAAAGATAATGAAAAAACAAAATGATATCATTCTCATTCGATGTTGGCAATTTGATACAAAGAGATAACACTTGATATGAAAATGATACAAAAATTTATCCCCAGCTAAGAGCAATATAAGATTCAAGCGTCGGAGCCTAATAGGTTAACGGACGCGAGCTTGGCCTTAACATCTGAAAGCTTCTTTACATGGGCTACTAGAACTTGTTCCGCAACCTCCATCCTAAACTCAGCTTCAATGGGCGCAATAGTAGCAGCCTCTTTCCGCATTACATCAAGAGCTTGCGTTTCTCCTGCCTGAGTATCGCGAATTTCAGCAATCTTAAGATGGAGTCCTTGCATAGTCAACTCCTCAGCAAGCTGAGCCTTCAACCGAGCAATGGTGGCGGCAGAGGCAGTCAAGGCAGCCTGTATTTGGTCATGTTGCTTCTGTAAACTCGTGATACGTGCTTCTTTCTCAGATAAATTCTAGCGAAGAGCTTCTTGCTCATGTGCTTTTGCAGTTCGAAGAAGAGCAAAAACTCGCTCTGTTTTTTGGAAAATCCAAGTTAGCATGAGTCAAGTTTTTCAAACGCGTCAAATATAACTCGAACTCAAGAAGGCTCACCAAGCAACATGAAGCCCGCCGGTTCTCGCCTAAACGCCTAATGTTGGTTAAGCCACTCATGAAGAAGGGCTTAAAGTCTGCATAGGTACATTTCCCAAGGCTAACTAGCGAGATCGTTTGTTGCATGGCGTTCTCCAGCTACATGGCAAGATCCTGCAAGGTTACAGAACCTGACTGAATAAATGCAGGAGTAACTCCTTCTGACGCTTAGCCTGGAGAAATCGAAGCGATAGGCTGGATCAGGGGAACAGACTCTGATCCACCAACACTTGGTTCTCCTTCACCTTCTAAGTCTTCCGAAGCAGGGATGTTTGATTGAAACTCAGGCCGCTGAGGAGATAACGGAGTAGAAGGTTCCTCGTTTTTATTGTCTGGGGTCACAGCAGGCTTAGATACAAAAGGCTCAGACTTCATCGTGTCTTTCATCAACTTTGGCTTCTTGGAAGATTTGGGTTCAACAGGTCTTCTCTTGTGAGCTCTCCTCTCGTATTCACCCTCCTCCACAGCAGTAAGAGTCTTCTTCCCCGATGATCTTAATGTACGAGACCCAAGGGCTGGTGCCTCCTCATAAACTTCTTCAGCTGCCTTCTCTTCACAAGACTAGGTGGCTGGTGCTTCCTCTTGGACCTCCTCTGCTTTGGTTGTCACTTGTTCGCAGGACAAATACTCTTCTATCCCCGGCAAACGAGTCCTCGCGGAACTCCTCCTGGATTCGTAAAGCTCTCGGATCTCGTTGATACAGGAAGCGTACATGTTGTATTCAGGGATTTGAGAAACTTCATAAAACCAGTATTTTTTTTTTGAGATGTAGGAAAGACAAGATTATTTGGATAAATATTAGGCAAGTATGAAAAAAAGGGGTCAGGTCTAATTTCTTGGTGGGAAGAGTAGTTGAACATAATTGAGCCAATTGAGTAGGCAAGTAAATATGGAGAGAAAGATATGTAACCATCATACTAGAGCAAGTGCATTTCACTTGGATATTCTTCAAATTTCGTTAAGGGTTAATGGTGGGTTGAGCAAATAGAAACTCCAACGATGAGATCCATACTGCCACTGGACACATTAGGGTGGGTCGTAAAATTCTTCCTCTTGGAGGTCTTTTAACTAAATGAGTTGTCAGCTTGTAACTAACGTGCGTGTATTAACAACATATATTTCAATGGACTTCATATCACAAAGTAGGATCTCGTGAAAGTGAGCTTTCTATAAAACTATATAGTCGAATATCAAATGTTAATAGTAATTTACTTCAAAGTAAAGAGTATAGACAACTAATCTGTAAAGAAGAAATTTGAAGCAATGTCTATATAAAGAAATGGAAGATATTGGCATTAGGCGCTGCAGGTACGATATAAGATAGAATGGCACATACCTAGGCCACTGCCGCATCCATCATGTAATGCAGTTTAAGAAAATTAGAGAAGGCTGCAGTAGCCCTTGTGCCTCGTACTGAATACATTCAGCAACCTTGATCAGAATCATCTTGAAGATTGATGAAAATAATTCCTGCTCTCTCTACATGGTCCACAATGTGCTCATAGTGATCCTATCAAACAGCTGGAAAACACCATTTTGAAACTCTTGCATAATCCTACTACTCTCTTCATTGGAATATTTGCTTCTTTTACCTGTAATCGGGAGAATCATCCGGTATTCAAAGGTGTAATCAAAGACTCATAAAGGGATATCCACGGACTTCCAAAAGCTCCAAATTGAGATGCAAAAGGTTAACACTTCAACCTCCCACCATCAGGAACCTTTCCAACTGCATCCATAAGTGCTCTTTCATGAGCCTGTTCCAAAAAATTGAAGTTCAACAGTGCAATCAAGTACCAGTTGTTTACATCAAAATACTGTAGTAACTAACCCTGATGACTAATCTTGTGCTCTCTATTTGATCAGGATCAGTGCTCACTCCTCAAATCTTCTAAACCTACACAATGAAACAGAAATCCAATTTGGAATACCACAGTTACTATATTTTTATTTGAACTTACAACATTGAGATTCTATACTCTGGTAAGTTAAAAGTTTACAATGCAAATGAATAACCATAAACCAGAAGCTTCATACTTAAACTATAAATTGTTCAGAAAATCTAGTACCTCCATTAGAAGCTTGTCTATTGCACGAATATCAATAACATCAGATAACCTGAATGAACGCCCTTGGATGTCTACACCATCACAGGTCCTCTTACTTAACCAGAGCTTGGTACTTTACTGTTCTGAGCATGACAAGTCCTCCATCATGGGAAAATATAGCTGTACTGCTATTCCGGTGAGCATCTCTAAAATGCATCTGATCAAGGAAGGGATACAACAGATTAAAGTGCTTGATAAAAGTCTTCAACTCAAAGGTTTCTATACAGTGGCAGATCCAGAAAATTTTGTTTGGAGGGACAGTCAACAAGTATCTATTCACACAAAAAAAAATATTATAAAACTATAGTATCAAATGAGAATAAGAATGCACTCGGTACAAGTAATCAGGTCCATTTGACTTTGATTGTTGAAAAGTAAAATAGGCTTTTACTTTTCAGTGGACTAATTAAGTTAATTTGTTGCTAACTTATTCAGTATTTTTAGACAGGTTGGGCTGCAATTTTTTAAATTTATGCTGGCGGGGCAGATTGTAAACATGACTATGCAATTTAAAATTTTGTAGGGGTGCAACTGCACCTTTACCATCTATTTGAATCCACCCCTGGTTATATATGTGCATTTTAATCAGAGTACAATAAAACTTTTAAGATATACTAACATAATGGACATCCTTAGTAAAAGACAAAAGTAGTAATTTAAAAAAAACACGTCTTTAGAATCATAGCAGGCGTGAAACCTGATATCATGGTCCATGACACCCATATCGAGATTCAAATATGAAATTGCTTTAAAGTTCATTGAGCCTTCAGTTAAATGTTGCACCAAGGGTGTGGCAATGCAACCTTTTAGAATCTCACATGCCTTGTGATCATTATTCAGACAATGCAGCAACAGGCTGGATGAAACCGGTACATCTGCTGATATTGCAAGTTGCAAAAATTACCATTATATAATTGTTCTAAATTCAATCATTATTTTTCTTGTTTACTGTTGGATTGTTTGCTTTATACGCTTTTAACTCTAGATAGATGTCTGACAATATGAGGGGAAGTAGTTGAGAGGTTAGGTCTCTTTCTCTTGCATGAACCCTAATCTCTCAACAGCAACCCACTTGTAGTAGTGAGCAGCAATCGTAATAGGTGAGCAGAGAAACAGCGACAGAGAGCAGCAGATGGAGCTTATTGAAGTTTACTTTTCAACAAAATTGCTTTGTTGCTTTTCTTTTAGAAAATAAATAATTGAGTTTCCCTCTGTTGGATCAGAAGATATTTCTCTCTTTTCAAAAAAACAATGAAATACTTGATTTGTTGAACTGAAATTTTTCATTGAATTGAATCGGTAATGATGCTGATTTTTTATGACCTAAATCTTTTATTTATTTTTGAGTTAACAAGCAAACTTAAGAAGCTATCACTAGCTTTACATGATTTACACATGTGGTATCTTGCTAAGATTTTCCATAGGAAATTTACAACATTCAAGACATATATACATAATCATCTACTAGGAGCCCGCCAGTAAATAACTCCTCCATGTTCGCGAAAGTCACCATCCTTTATAGAATTTCATTTCCCCTTTCACCATCACCATTGTTTCAAATATCCCCGACATGACCCAATATATAACCCAATAAATCCTCTTACAAGGCTTGCCGCAACCGATATGGCCTTTAAACATTCTTTACTACTTTTTGGCTATTTTGGGCGATATATACCCAATATGGCCTATATATTAGCCGATATGTTGGCTAATGTATCCATTTATATAGCTTATAACAAAACAATATACCGCATTTGGCAATTTCTAGGCGAGATATCATGATTTTCACATTATATCAAATGACATTTTGGCCTAAAAAATCAGACAAAATGTTACAACTTTCATTTGTACTTTTGTTAATTTTACAAGGTTGATTAGTGATCCTAAACATATATTATTTACATTTTGTATGCTTAGATTTCATTAAGTATGTTGATATTATGTTTTAGTGCATTATACTATATATGCAAACATCTATTATGGCATTCTGATATTTACCATATATCCCTAATATTCCCCCAATATTTGTAATCCGATAAGAATGATGACCATCTGATATCCGGCACACTTCAAAATGCTGGCTCGATAAAGCGAATACAGAGTTCTGTGGATATGATAGCAAGACAAAAGAGCAGACAGACAAAAGTAGAAAGAAGAGATGAACGTAACCAAAAATACCTCAAGAAATCAATATTTAAACTTCAAAAAAATCTCAAATCGACTGCAGTTCTTTGACTTGCCCTTTTTATAGCTTTGCATAAATAATAGAGAGTAAACAAAATAAAAGTGACTAACCAAGAAATACTAGTAAAACCCACAACAGATCTTCATGGTTTGCACTAAACCTTTTGCTGGACTCGAAAAATCAGAAAACCATAAAGAAAAGTATGTGATTCGTGTTTTAATTTGTGAACATTGTACTGTTTCAGAGATCACATATGGAAATATTAAGAGTTTTTTTCTTAGAAACTCTCTTTAAAATAAGGTCATCGTATGGAAACCACCTTTTATTGACTAAATACATAGACCACCCTTAAAGTGATTAACTGTTGCAATCAATTGTTTGGATCCACTTTTCAGTTAAACTTTTTCGGTTATGTGGTAATGATTAGCTAACAAATACCAAGTATTAGGGAGAAGTTCCTCAATGGATGTTAGGTGTGGTCAATTACTGAGAAAACTTAACTGAGAAGCGAATTCAGGTAGTTGACTACAATGGCAAACCCTTCAAAGGTGGTTTATACATTAATTAACAATTAAAGGTAATTTTTGTATAATGATCCAATTTAAAAGTGGTTGTAGAGGGAAAAACTCAAATATTAATACAGATTCACAGAAGGAATTTTAAACTTAAAGTCCATGCCACTGCACAAAAACTCTGAGTTGTTGTGAGGGTTAACTGTTATAATTTCATATCTTAACATTGGCCCATACAAGTTGAGGGACCTTTCATAGCCCAAAATCTGGACTCATAGAGCAGTATCTTTTATCAAATCCCCTTTAGAAATTCGTGGCCGAAAAGATTCGAACATAAGTTGCTCTGATACCATCTTAAAGTCTGCGTCGTTGCACCAAAACTCTGAAGTTATGGTGAGAGATAAGGATTATAAGTTTATATTCTAATAGAAGTATCTTCACATGTCACAGGCTCTGTCATCTAAACTCATGAAACATGGTCTGCCTAAAAAAAGAAAATGTAGAATATGAAGAGATCTTATGCAAACCCTTATAATACTATTATAAATAAAATAACACACTATTAAATATTCTTAAAAAGTATATTATCATTCAATAAATAATATAATAAATTTGTATAGTAAAATAATATAATTATTTTTATATTATAACTTAACTAAGAATTACGCTATTATTTAATACATTATAGTGAATAATAGTACTAATTATACTATATATAGATATTATAATAGTTATAAACAACATATAATTTATTATACTTATTCTAAATTACAAATAAAAAATATTATGTTATTAAATAATTATTTAATTTGTTATAAGTCTTTAACTAAATTATGATTAAAACATACTTCTTTTAAAAGCACAAGTTCGGGAAAAGATTTTCATAGTCAATATTATCATTTATTATTTTAAATATTTCATTTAAATCTTATTTTATCCTAATTCAAATTATATCTTATATTAATCCCACGTGAGCTATGTATAACTCAACAATTTTAAAAAATAAGATTAATAAAATTCATGAAACACTATTTTAAATATTTTATTTATTCCTAATCTATCAAAATACTAATTATATTCTATACTAATCCCACATGAACTACCTATAGCTCAACAATTTAAAAAATAATATTAAGAAATCATATGTAGCTAACATATTATAATACATGAAGTATTACTAAAAAACCCAAAAAAAATTTAAAAATTGCACGAAATACCCTCAAAAGTTTAAAATTATACAAAACACACTGACTTTTCAACACTTAAAACAACAAATAATAGTCTCCTAAGAATTTAAAATTTACAATTAACACCCTTAACATTTCAAAAATTGTAGAAACAACCTCAAAAGTTCAAATTACAAAAAAGCATGCTAAAATTCTAAAAATTCAAAACTTGAAAACAACATTTGATGAATTCAAGAGATTACCAATAGGCACTTGAAAATTTAAAATTAGCAAAAAGTAACTCAAAGTTACAAAAATTGTAAAAATTTCCTCAAAAATTAAAAATCAAAAAAATTAAAATTTCAAAACTTATAACCAATACATATCAAATTTGAAAATTATCAGTAGAAAACTAAAATTTTGAATTTTGTAAAAAGAAACCGAATTTACAAAAAACACCCACAAAATGTCAGAGTTGTAAGAAATATTCTAACATTTAAAACCTTACCACTAACACTAAAACATGGAGATTACAAGTACCCAACTTAAAACTTAAAATTTTTGAAAACATTATCTAGCTTTAAAAAGTGCAAACCACACCCTCAAAGGTTCAAAATTATCAAAAAAAAAACTAAAATTTTTAAAGAAAAGAAAACACTA